CTTGAAGTTGAGAGACAATAGGTAAAAACCAGATCGATAGTCTAATATTTCTTCTGACAGAAATGTTCCTTGGGGCCGGCCCGTGGCTCACTCGGGAGAGTGCGGTGCTGATAACACCAAGGCCCCGGGTTCGGATCCCACATAGGGATGGCCAGTTCGCTCACTGGGTGAGCGTGGTGCTGACAACACCAAGTCAAGGGTTAAGATCCCCTTACCAGTCATCTTTTTTAAAAAAAAAAAAAAGAAATGACTAGCTCTTTATATTGAAAACCTTAAAATTCGGCCCTGAAATTAATTTCTCAGAGATTTGGGATTCCTGGAGAAGATCCTATTTTCTCTTTTGGGCTGTATGGCTATCTTTATATGAGTTTCTGAGTAACTTTTCCTGTCTGGACTTAGTTTATTTTTTTTAAAAAGTTTATTTTTTAAAAAAACAAGGAAAAGCTGGAGAACGAGAAGACAAGCCACAGGCTGGGAGAAAATATTTGCAAAACATGTATCTGATAAAGTAATGTTATCCAAAATATACAAAGAACTCTTAAAACTTAACAATAAGAAAACTAACAACACAATTAAAAAATGGGCAACAGACCTGAACAGACACTTAACCAAAGGTGATGTACATATGGGAAATAGCACATGAAAAGATGTCCAATGTCATATGTCCTCTGGGAACTGCAAATTAAAACAAGAGATATCTCTACACACCTGTTAGATTGGCCAAAATCCAAATACTGACAATGCCAAAGGCTGATGAGGATGTAGAGACACAGGAACTTTCTTTTTTTTTTTTTTTTATAAGATGGCCGGTAAGGGGATCTTAACCCTTGACTTGGTGTTGTCAGCACCATGCTCACCCAGTGAGCCAACCGGCCATCCCTATATAGGATCCGAACCCGTGGCCTTAGTGTTATCAGCACCGCACTCTCCCGAGTGAGCCACGGGTCGGCCCCACGAGACACAGGAACTTTCATTCATTGGTAGTGGGACTGCAAAATGGTACAGCCACTTTGGAAGACAGTCTGGCAGCTAATTACAAAAGTAAACATTATCTTACCTAAGATCCAGTAGTCATGCTCCTTGGTGTTTGCCCAAAGAAGGCGAAAACGTGTGTGCACATAAAATCCTGCACATGGATGTTTATAGCAGCTGTCTTTATAACTGCCAAAAACTTGGAAGCAACCAATATGCCCTTCAGTAGCTGAATGGATAAACCATCGTTCATCTGGACAGTAGAATATTATTCAGCTCTAAAGAGAAATGAGCTATGACTTCATGAAAAGACATGAAGGGGGCTGGCCAGTTAGCTCAGTCGGTTAGAGTGCAGTGTTATAACACCAAGGACAAGGGTTTGGATCTCCATACTGGCCAGCAACAAAAAAAAAAGAAAAGACATAGAGGAACTTAAATGTGTATTACTGTACTAAGTGAAAGAAACCAACCTGAATCTGTATGATTCCAACATATGACATTGTGCAAAAGGCGAGACTATGGAGACAGTAAAAGGATCAGGAGTTGTGGAAAAAGGTGGACGAATAGGTGGAGTACAGAGGATTTTTAGGGCAGTGAAACTATTCACTATGATACTGTAAGGGTGGATACATAATTATGAATTTTTTAAAACCCATAGAATGTACACCACCAAGAGTGAACCCTAACGTAAACCATAGATTTTGGGTGATAATGATATGTCAATGTAGGTTTGTTAGTTGTAACAATGTGCCACTCTGGGTGGGATGCTGATAGTGGGGAAGGATGTGTGTATGTGAGGGCTGGGAGTATATGGGAAGTCTATATACTTTCTGCTCAATTTTGCTGTGAACCTAAAACTCTAATAGAGCCTTTTTTTAAAATGAGGAAAACAGGGACACTTCTGGCAACATGGCAGACTGAGCTGACCATTCTGACAAAGAAATGGAAGGAGGGGAAGGAAGGAAGAGGGGGAGCGGGAGGGAGGGATCAGGTCTAATATCCTGGTACGAGAAAGGGAAGCCAGAGTGGTAATAGTTTATGCCAGCACAGCCCCCAGGGGTATGGACAAAGTACAGGGGCAGGAGCACTGAGGTTTTTTCTTTCAGGCAAGGACAGGAGATGCAGCCTCAGACCCTGTAAGGTGCAGGATTGCTAGAGTTAAGTCTGCTGGATGAGAGCTGGAACCTGGAAGGGGACTAGAAAATCCCTGCTATCCTAGAGTAGTGGCAAGGACAAACTTGCTATTTGATCGGGCATATGGACAGGGATTAAGAAGGTGTCCAGGAGAAATCTTCAAGCCTGGGCCATATACAGGTGTGTGTAGTCTTAATTTTTATTACTGGCATGCTGAAAAATTAGCACAAGCTGAAAAATTAACATAAAGATTGGCCCCGGGGGCCGGCCCGTGGCTCACTCGGTAGAGTGCGGTGCTAATAACACCAAGGCCCCGGGTTCAGATCCCAGATAGGGATGGCCGGTTCGCTCACTGGCTGAGTGTGGTGCTGACAACACCAAGTCAAGGGTTAAGATCCCCTTACCGGTCATCTTTTTTTAAAAAAAAAAAGATTGGCCTGGACTGGTGAAAGCTCCAGAACCATGCAGGCACCAATACAGTAAATTGGATTGTAACAGAGAGAGGTATAAACAGGACCTATGGAAGAAAAGAGGAGAGAACAAGAAGGTCCATCACTTGTCTAAGAGAAATTCCTGAAGATTAAAATAGAATGGGTGACAGACAAAACGGAAGTTATAAAGACAGAATTTTCCAGAATTAAAGACATAAAAATTATGTAACTGAAGAAATTCATTTAGGGTAAAGAAAAGCAAACCCACTGCTAGATATACTGTAGTGAAACTATAGAACACCTGTTTATAGTGAAACTGTAGACAGAATCGTAAAAACAACCAGAAATAGATTGCTTACAAAGAAAGGAAGTCAAAACTACCAGCAGACTATTCATGAACCACAATACATGCCTTAAAACAAAAGGAATAACTTAAGAACCCAACTGTCAACTTGGAATTCTGTTCCCAGCATAATATTCATTCAAAGGTGAGGACAAAAATATATATTTTTTTTTTCCCTTTTTGTCTTTTTTTTTCGTGTCCTGCAACGGATCGCAACCCTCAGTATCGTGCCCGTACCGGACCGGGACCGGCAACGGAATCGCAACCC